TTCACAGAATAAGTTGTATTTTTGAGCAACAGAAACACTTGTAATCAATAAATACTAGATAGATGTGTTTAATGTCATACCATGAAGCATTCCAGACAAAGGAATAACATCTCCATGGAGACAAGCATGTGACAGACTCTCCATCAGAAAAGTTACGCAGTGCACCATTTACGAGTTTTATGCTTTTTGTGCCATTATTCCTCCAGTCCCTGAAAAATATTGTATTTTTATCACCAGTTCTTACAAGCAAAAATAACTGGGGAGTGCTGCTACCAGTACACACCACTTTTTGGCTCGTTCCTAGACAAATTATTTCCTTGACAACACCAAACTGCCATAAAACTCCACATATAACTCAAAATAACAGTGAGAAACTCTCCCTCTGACGCACACGTGTTCAGCCTGTGCCCTGGTAGCCGCCGAGCCCCAGTGATTTATGGGATTTGTAGTGTTTCTGTTCAGCTGAGCGTGGCATAAACAGCACATTCACTGCATTCTTCACCTGCCTCCTCCCCACGGCCCACAGAGCTGCGGTTTCACATGTTTGAGAGACGTAGCATTACTAGCGTAGCCTTATCAGATCAGGGAGCATGCTGGGAAATCGTGTTTACATCTGGGCAGGTTTAAACAGCGCGGGATGGTTTCGAATGTTTGGGCCTGAAATGTAAAATAAACACAATGCGGTTGGGTGTATGTGTGAGGGGAAGGTATATATTTACTTTCACTTACTTCTGCGTGTGGTTCGGACAAACAAAGAAGCGCTGGGTTTACTCTGAGACGTGATAAGGGGTCAGGGTCAAGTCTGGATTTACTGGTACTAGTTAAAGTTAAGCAAAAGCCAAAATGGCAGGAGATAGAGCAAAAATATTGGTTTAAAGTTATTTTTGTAACTCAAAACATATTGAAAAAGTATGTATCTTTACAATGACACCTTTAACTTGTTGCCTGTTTGTCTCGATTAAGATTAGATCAGTTTAACTTAATCTTAGGTATTTTGTTCCAAATTTTTCATCATTCTGAAACTCATAATAATAATAATAATAATAATGCATCAGTTTTATACAGCGCTTTTCTGGACAGACTGACAGAAGCAAGGCTGCCAATCTAAGCCATCGGCCCCTCCGACCACCACCAACACTTACACACACTCCACTTTCATACTAGGCAATGTGGGTGACGTATCTTGCCAAAGGACACAGCAACAGTTTTTTGCGACTGGCACTCCATGGATTTAGTGGTGAAGTCCTATTTTAGACTTGGTTTAATTCTAGTCTTGACCTTGAATTGGGTATTGGATGGTACTTAGAATGTTATAGGACCACTGGTCTACACTTTTCAATATTATCTTCTACCAGGCTTTGAACATACAAGTTTGGTTAGTTTATCTGCCATTTGAAATTATGTTAACTGGACAGAAGATATTTTCATCAAATATGTTTTGCAGCTCATCCAAGCTGCTTCTTCAGGTTTGGTCTGACTCTGGTGGGCACGGTCCTGAAGGGAGCAGCTAATTACACTGAAACTACTCTGAAACTAACACACCTACTTGTTTACACTTTGTTTGTTGGCTCAGTCTGTTGAACTGCACTGACTGTGAACATGTCATTTTAGCAAAATCATTCAGGACTCTGATGGGACCGATCAAAAAACTTTTGTCCATTAGACAGAATTGAATTTCTCCACTGCCATTTGAAATAAAAAAAAACACATTGGAAAAACATTTGCAAAGAAGTTTCACCATGAGGCTTAAAGGGACAGTCCAGAATTTTGAACATAGGACTCAATTTCCTTTCCTTATTACGCCAGACTCTCGATGTAAATGTCTGTGTCGAATAAAATAATGACTGAAATAAAACTAATCTTGCTTCGCATGAATTGTTGCATGTTGAGGGACTATTTTCTCAGCAGCAGTGAAATTTTACTTTGCCAGTAAGACAGGTGCTAGGTGATCTCAGTCTGCCGCTGCCAAGTTTTCTATCAGGAAGAACAACTCACTGCTGCTGCTCAGACATAAATCCTTCAAATGCAAGGTTGGTTTTTCTTCTAAAATGATTCTATTGACACAGACATTTACATCGACAGTCTGGCGTAATAATAGATTTGCTTCGGGTGCTTTGTGGAGTGGGTAAGAGTTCTTAGAGTTTTTAGTCTAAGGACAGGGGAATTATTGTGCATATAAACATTTAAAAGGTTTTAAAGTTCATATACACAGGCTGAGTGTAAGTGCTTTTAATCTATCAATCAAATAAGTTCTGCTTCATTAATATGTAAAGTCTACTCTCTATCAAGAACCTGAACAAAGACGCCAAGACCCCAGACCAAAGTTGTCGCCCACACATGTACATACCACAGGACCATGATCTAACGAATGAATGAATGAATGAACACTCTGTCACCGTAGCTACTGTCTCCCGGTGACGGAGCGTTGATCTCCACGGTAACAGGCCAGGATTTCAGGCGATGCACGCTGAGCTTTTTAACCAACTCTAAATATTTCTGTTAACTCCCACAAACTCCAACCAACCTCCAGACTCTGAGAAGTGGAGCTATTTCGTGGGCAATTCTTCAAGTATTTGAGGCTTTGGTTGGGATGCCAAAAAGTGTGCTAAAAGTGGAAGTAGGCTAGTGCTACTTTTATAAAGACCTAGATTCTGGGGTTTAGATATAGATGTAGATTCGTGCTAGAGAAAAAGTAGGTCTACACTCTCAGCAAATATAGTTGGTGCTGTACCCACAAAAAGGGCCCATACTCTGCTTTTTTATGTTATAATGTTGTTTCCTCATCACAGACAAGCCTAGAGTTGTGTTTAGTTTTATTCGCACAAACCCTGCATGTTTAGGCTGAGTTCTTTTCTCAAAATGAAAACACTTTGTGATGTGAACTCCATACACCGTCACGAGAATAATTTAGATCAATTACAGTCGTAGAAATACAATCTCTCTCTAAACTAAAGGTAAAGGGTAGCCGTTAACTTGACAAAAATGAAGAAAAAAAAAAAGCACAGCACACTCAAATGGCCGATGTCCAAAAGCTTTTTTAAATTACGTTTCGGCAAAAAGCCTTCATCAGATCATCTTTCTTGCTTTGGACCACAGTACCACAGTTGTAAATTTGGCATCACGAGGTGGAACAGATCATTTTGAGCTTTGGAGATATAGAAAAACTAATAAACCAGGGTTACTCAAACATGTAGGAATGAAATAAAACACAACTCCAGGTCTGTTTTGATGAGGCAACAACATTATAACATGTCTTAAAGCTCACAAGAGTCAATTTTGCGTAATATAATTTAGGTTTAACTGATGTCTTCCCCCAGTAAGTCATGGACCAGTTGACTTCACACATCCCTGACATTTCCCAGGTCCGTGGAGGGGCCCGAGTGTTTGGGTGTTTGGGATTATAGATGTGTGAACTCCACAAAGTGTCTTCTTGGACTTTTATGGGATTATCGGGTATGTTTTTGAGGAAGTAATATGTTTTAAATCTCACAAGAATACATTCTGCGTAATACACAGGGTTCCCACGAACATGTAAATTCTGGAAAAGTCATGAAAATTGAAAATGTCATTTTCCAGACCAAAATTCAATTAAAGTTTTGGAAAAGTTATGAAATTTTACTATCTCTTTCTAACTACAGCGTTCTGTTATGTTCTCATTAAGCTATTATAATTATTTCCGAACGTGTGTACGCCTTTTGTTTAAAAGAGCCGACAATAAATGCACTGACAGTATTTTGAATGTTAAAAAAGTATTACAGTGGTCCCTCGTTTATCGCGGGGGTTACGCTAAAAAAATAACCACGATAGGTGAAATCCGCGAAGTGGTCAACTTTATATTTTACAATTATTATATCTGTTTTAAGGCTGTAAAACCCCTCACCACACACTTTATACACTTTTCTCACACAGGACAGTGAACACTTTTTGCATCCTGCTTAAAACGTTATTGCTGCTGTCGTCCTTTTGTTATTTTCCTCCTTCTTTATGTAACAAAGCGAAGATTCATTTATTCCAAAATGGAGTCCTACAGCGCAGAGTCCTGCACGGGTCCATTTTTGGAGACCCGCACCTGTGCAGTACAGGACCACACCCGCCCATTAACCCGAGATTATATCAAATTTTTGCGCTGCCTACGCCACGGACTGAACCAAGACTAACCCAGGACTAACTCAGGACTAACCTAGGACTGATTCCAGGACTGAAGAGGAGGACTAAACCAGGACTAAACTGCACTTCAGAATCTCATTGCTAGCGATCGAACATTTATGTAAATCTGTCAAACTGAACACATTCTGCACTGTACAGGAGTCACAACACAATGGTCTACACTCCCTCAGCCAATCAGGACGCAGAGGGAGGAACACACTCGTACGCTGTAAAAAAAAAAAAAAAAAAAAAAAAGCATGCAAAATTACACACAAAAAAATCCTCGAAACAGCAAGACCGCGAAACTCTAAAAGTATCCTCAATTCTACACATGTAGGTGTCGTAAAGTCATGGAAAAATTCACTTTCGGTCATGAAAATTTGTCAGTGAAAAAGAGTGGGAACCCTGAATATAGGACCTTTAAGAAATACCTCCAACTTCTAACCCCAACCTCAAGCGGTAAGTCGGAATCAGCAATAATATACAATTTGTTCATTATAAATTAAGTCTTTGATCATGCTTTAAAGGTGCACTGTGTAACTTTACTGGTGGAGGATCAGCCAGCTGCTTGTCATGGAGATGTTGTTGCTTTGTCTGGAACATTAAACACATCCATCTTGCATTTGCTCAATAACACATGTTTTTATAGACTTGACTCTCTATTAATCAGTACTGCAGACCTGTATTGTGAATTGTATTTTGTAAAAAGTCCATCTGGGTCAAGTATACAAGGCCAAAAGTTACCATCATAAATATAAAGAAGTGTTCAAGGGCAGCCGTGCGCTCCCCTCTGGCCATGTGTGTCTCAGATGTTGTGTTTAGGTGCACATAGGAGATTTATGCGTCAGACTCACGCAGCTGGTTGAAGTGGGTTTGGAGTCCGTCTGGTCCCGGGACAGAACACACCAGTCTGGACTTCTGAAATGTGCTCCACTTGTTCACCAGGCTCCTCTGTCCGCCTATGTCATTCTGGATAAAGCAAAACATAATCAACAATAAAAATTTTGTCTTAAGGAATCCGTGTGTCCGGATAACTATGTTTTTTCAGTTTTCGATTTTGTGTTTAAATGAATAATGGAAAGAACGGATAACAGCCGTTTCCCGTTTCTGTGACTTAAACTGCTGCATACGGACTGAACCAGGACTGACCCCAGGACTAAAACAGGACTGAACAAGACTAAACCAGGTCCCAGTCTCAGTCCTGGTCTGGTCCCAGTCTCAGTCCTGGTCTGGTCCCCGGTCTCAGTCCCTGTCTGATCCCAATCTAAGTCCCCGTCTTGGTCCTGGCCTCAGTTTTGGTCTGGTCCCGGTCTCAGTCTAAGTCTGGTCTCGGTCTGGTCTCAGTCTCAGTACTAGTCTGGTCCCAGTCTGAGTCCCAGTCTGGTCCCGACCTCAGTCCCGACCTCAGTCCCGGTCTCAGTCCCGGTCTCCATCCTGGTCTTGGTTCCTGTCTGGTCCCGGTCCCAGCCCTTGTCTCAGTCCCGGTTTCAGTCCTGGTCTGGTCCTGGTCTCAGTCCTGATCACCCGACAGTCTACGCGGGTGCAAATCTGGGCCCGTCCTAACACTCAGTCCTGGTTTAGTCCTGGTTCAGTCCTGGTTCAGTCCGTATGCGGCATAAATGTCTGGCATTGCAGTTTAAAGCAGGAACACAAAACTGAATATTGAAAAAAAAAAAACAATTGTTATCCGTATTTTTAATTTTGGTTTTAGAAAGAAATAATGAAGAAAATAGTTGTTTTTCCGTTTTCTTGTTTTTGGTTTTATTTTGAAAAACAAATGAACGAATGATACACAGATTTTAAAGGGCCCATATTACACTATTTTCTGATCTATGTTATAATGTTTCCTGGAGGTGTGTTTAGTTTTGTTCACATGTTTAAAACACAAATCCTGAATATTTGGCTTTTTTGAGTCCATTCACCTTCACTACAAAAACATTTGGACAATTTCAGCCCTGGAATTGCCAATCTCTCCTAAACAAAAGTAAAGTAGTTGTTAAATTGACATCACGAGCTTTGAAGATGCAGACAGACTAAAAATAAAGGGTTACTCAAACGTGTGTGAATGAAACAAAACACAACTCCAGGTGTGTTTTTAATGAGGCACCAACATTATAACACGGCTTAAAGGTCACAAGAGTCATTTTTGTGTTATGAAGGACCTTTAACTATTCATTGTCTATTTAACTGGGATAGTCCCACAGAGATATTTACAGCAGTGAGATAAAGAGGGATTTGTCCTAGTTTAGTTAATGGTGACTTATCTTTCTTTCTACCAGGGTTACAGTTAGTTAGTTTTGCAATTTTCAGTCGGGGTGTGCAAAAATATCGAAATTTCGCATCGTTTAATGTGATAATACAGTATCGATATCGTGGGCTGCTGTATCGATATATCGCCAAGAGTATTTTTTACTACAGAAAAAAATCGTCTTACTTGCAAAACGTGAGATTTATTAGGACAAACTGTGCAACGTTTCGGCACTAGGCCACCTTTTTTTTTGTTTGTTTGCTTGATGAAAGTCTAATGCCGATACGTTGCACGGTTTGTCTGAATAAATCTCATGTTTTGCAAGTAAGACGATTTTTCTCTATAGTAAAATGCACCAAAAAATACTTTTGGCGATGTATCGATACAGCAGCCCACGATATCAATACTGTATCATCACATTAAACATTACAATATATGGATATTTCAATATTTTTGCACACCCCTACCGAAAATGTTAGTTTTTTTTTTTTTTATTGCAAAATTATATAACTCTGGACAGTGTTGTGCGGGATTTTTCTCTATGTTCTTGGGCTGCTCCCTCTCCTCCAACACACCCTTCTCAAGTAATTTATGTGTGAAGTTCTCATTCTTTTATATCACTGGCTTGGTATATTTTACTACATTTTTTTTATTACAGCGCTACAGTTTTGTTGCTTGTTTAGAGGAAGGAAATTCGTTTACGCAACACATTTGATGATTACACTGTTCTGATGATTAAAATGGGCGTGTTTCTTATTAACTTTGCACAAGAAGTGTTTTAAAAAAGGCTTTTTTAATCACAGTCATGATTTAGCCATTATTTTTACTGAACCGTATCAAATCAATTTGAAATATATCATATCGAATCGAAAGTATCGAGGTTTGTATCATATCGGCAACTTCTTAATGATACCTAGCCCTAATTTTCAGCCACTTTCTTATAATTTCAACAGTTTATTTTCAACATCATTTTCAACCCGCACACAGCACTTGCACTATGATTTTAAAGATTTTCTATGACCTAGTTATGCTCTACCTCTTCTTTTTTATCTGACTTTTCGATAATTGTTGATGAACTTCAGGTCTGACACAGAAACATGCGGAGAGGCGAGTGTTATCGCTGAGTCCCACTGGAGACTGCAGTGTAAACAGGAACAGTGGATCTCATCAGAGCAGCAGATAAAGACTAAACTAAACATGATCACAGGTACATTTACAGCAGGAGCTCTGAGACATCTCCCTGACTGATCTGTGCTCAGGGCCACACGTACACCACAAGAGCACAAGAACAATTATAATACCTCCTATCTTCCTGTTTCTTGTATAAATATACTAGCAGAGTTGAAATATTGGACAAAAGGCGAAAGATTTATAAGATCTGCTGTATAAAAGGTAGAAGGGAGCTGTCGTTTATGTTTGTTTTCATGATGTATGGTTTTTAAAATGGAAAAAACATGACTAAAAACAGAAAAAAACAAGAAGAAAAAAAAACAACAACAGAAAAACAAGAAGATGTGCAAGATGTAAACTAATCTGATGACAAATGACAAACGTATCTCCAGGGGTGGGTTTTGACTCGTGGGCCACAAAGGGTTCTAAAATTTGACCGAAGAGCCGGACCAGGAGCAGATGGATGGAGTTTTTTGGTAATCCACTTCATAAAAGAAAAAAATAACATGGGATATATAGAAAACATATCCCATGTTATTGAAATATCCCATAATTGAAAATCATTACAAAGCATAACAACAAAATATCAGTCCCAAGTAGGGGTGGGCGATATCCCGATATTTTAAATGTATCGAGATATTTTTTAAACTCGATATGAATTCTGACATATCATATATATCGACATAATGCTTATATTCAATTTTGATTTCGCCGATTCGCTTATTTACCTTCTCTGTCGTCGCCTGCGCCCCCGCCTCCCTGATTTTGTTCGCTCGTGTCTCCTTCACTCGTCACTATCACCGTGAACGCTGAAAGTTGGTGCCAGTGAAAAGCTTCAAGCACCACGAACCTTTTCCACCATTTACAGACAAAACCATCAGCAGCACATCCTCATATTCCACCGAGTCGCTGTCCTTTAGCCCGAAAGAAGCTGAAACGAGCTGAGCTGCAGGAGAAGTGCTGTTTATGCAAATGAGTCATGAGCGTTTCTGTAAAATGTAAACACACGTGTTCTGTAAAAATGTATTAAACACATTATTATCTCAAACGGGCTGATGTGGCTCTAGAGTCGTTATGCTTTATATATTGTAAAGTTTAGTCATGTAAAGTTTATTTATGCAGAAGATTTTAATTAATAATCTGCTGCAGTGTCACTTGTACAACAGTGTTTGGAAACGTTGGGTTTGATCTGCAGTGGATTGTGGGATTAAACCTCAGAGCTCCTCACTGCTGGATAATAACATGGATCTATTAAAATAAGGAACATCCTGAGCTTCTTCTGCTAAAGGAGCTCATGGTTCTGGTTATGGTTTACAGAGTTAATGCAAAGATGAGCTTGTGTTGAGTTGTTTTATTTATGAATGAAAAGAAGGAAATATCTATTATTTCTTTTATTTTACAGTTAAATTATTATTTATGTAATTAAGGTTTTTTGTAATCTTAAATGTTCCTGTATGAACTGCCGACCTCTTACACTTCAGTAAAAAAAAAAAGAACTTGTGGAATTTGGCAGATTTGTTTTTGCAGTTTTCAGTTTTAGGGGGTTATTTTTTCTTGAACATATATCGAGATATAGTAAAATATAAGGTATTTACTATTTATTGAAATGACTTTTAAAATACTGAAAATTATTATTATTATTATTATTACTATTAGTAGTAGTAGTAGTATTAATTTGGTGGGCCAGATTAAAAAGATTAAATGGCCGCATATGGCCCCCGGGCCTTAGTTTGCCCACCCCTGTATTAGACAGTCCAAGTTAAATACACAACAAATCAAAGGTAAATACAAAATAAACATCAAGAATAATACATGCTTTGTTTGAAAAAATAAGGTAATTGGAGTTTCATTTTAATCAGCTTTTTTGTTTGTTTGTTTTTTCTTATTATCTTATTAATTAGATGTAATCCCTCATTCATCCAAGAGAAGCCCATGGTAGAAACGGTTTCAAAGGCAGTAATTTATTCATTTATTTATTTTACGCCTTACAGTGACGGTAAAGTTATCAACAATTAGCATGTTACTGGTGCACTCCCTGTTTATCAGACAATAAGATGCTTTATAATTAGATGGAGACAGGACACAGCAGTCTTATTTTTATCTCTAAACCTGCTTATTCTATCAGACACATGGACAAATGGCTCTTTAATAGCCTAATTTACCATATCTTTAACAGACCACATTTGATATTATCTTGTAGACAATATCCTGCTCGGTTTGATTACCTTGCAGACCCGGGCCACGCGTGAGTAAATGACTTTGCCCTCTGACCCCTCGGACTCCTGAGCGCGCTCGGTGAAGAACATGTAAACCTTATCATCCTCTGGGTTGTCCGTCTCAGACAGAGGAGACACGCGGATGAACTGGGCATCTGTAGAAAATAAAAAATCAACACATTTTTGATTATATAAAATTTATGCTACAATTTTCTCTAATATCCACACATAATAATACCTAATAATGCATAATTTTCAACGCAACCCTCGTCTCGCCTCACCTGTACAACGATTGTTTTACGACCTAGTGAAGCACTTTACCTCTTTTCTTTATCTGACTTATCCTTTATCCTACACTTGTTTGATGAACTTAAGGTCTGATATCAAAACTAGGGACGTAACAATAACCAAAATATCGTAAAAAGTCTCACAATAATATCATGGGCTGTCACAATATATCAAATTACAAGCTCCTTTGCTTAAATGCATGGTTTTATAATAGCAACAGCTTATAAACATCGGGAACTACATATCCCATGATTCATTTCAGTGCAAACAACATGAAGAATTATGTTTTTTACTTAAAATCTTGGGATTATGATGGAAGTAATTCACACCAAAATCTTGTCAAGGTATTTTAAAAGCAAAAAACAGTCCTGTCTACAGTCAGTGTTGGGGAGTAACAGATTACATGTACCAGAGTTACGTAATCAGAGTACAAATTATGAGTAACTGTATTCAGTTACAGTTACTGTTTCAGTGAGTGGTAATTGGATTACAGTTTACTTTGTTGAAATAAATGGATTACACAGTGGTATTTTTCTGTTTTTACATTTTGGGCTATATCCCCCTTTTTTTCCCCCCGTAATTCCACCCATTGCCAGACACTATACCAGGTCTAAACCAGGTCTAAACCAGGTCTAAACCAGGTCTAAACCAGGTCTAAACCAGGTCTAAAACCAGGTCTAAACCAGGTCTAAACCAGGTCTAAACCAGGTCTAAACCAGGTCCAGGTCTAACACCAGGTCTAAAACCAGGTCTAAAACCAGGTCTAAAACCAGGACTAAAACCAGGACTAAAACCAGGACTAAACCAGGACTAAAACTTCTCTACAGCAAATCAAGTAATCCAAAGTATTCAGATTACGTTACTCACCTTCAGTAATTTAATGGATTACGTTACAAACTACATTTTGGCGTATGTAATCTGTAATCTGTAGGGGAAAACATTTTATAAGTAACCTTCCCAACACTATCTACAATTATATTAACCTCTCAAAAATATCGCAATAAATATCGTACCATGAGATGTATATTGCGATAATATTGCACAAGTGTTTTCATATCGTAGAAACATATTAAAACATTTGCAAACTCTGACTGTAACTGTGAAATGTTTTTAGTAACTTACTTCTGTAGTTCGTTTTATTGTGTGACTTTTCTGGTGGAGGGTTCGCTACACACTTGTCTACATGGAGATGCTATTGCTTTGCCTGGAATGTTCCATGGTATGACTTTAAACATATCCATCTAGCGTTTATTCTAAGGCTGTGCAAAAATACTATAATATCGATATATCGTATCGTTTAACGCGATGATACAGTATTGATATCGTGGGCTGCTGTATCGATATATCGTGTATCGAGCATTTTTGGTGTATTTTACAAAACTATTTTGTTACAGATAAAGGTTTGTTGTTTGTTTAGTGGAAGGAAACTCATTCACACTGCAAGAAGGCTAGTTAAAATGAAAATTAAGAACATCTGACTTTATTTGAGTCAACTCTACCAATGGAATAAGTGTTTTTCTAAATTCAAGCGATATTCAATTTCATTTCTTATTTTTGAGGGTTATTGTTTTTCTTATTTTAAGTGTAGTAAGTTGTATCTTCAGATTTTAAGTACAAAAAATCATATTCCGCTGATAGATAATTTAACTTGTCAAGTGGAATTTACCCAAATCATGACAAAACTTAATTCAAGTCATCTTAACTTGGCTAGATTTTATTTGACATTTTCACAGTTTTGAGGATTAAAATGTTTTTGTTTCATATTCACTTTGCACAAGAAGTGGTTTAACAAAGACTTTTAGTGATTTAGCCATTGTTTTTATTGAACGGTATCGAATCAGTTTGAAATATATCGTATCAAATCGAAAGCTCACTGTATCAGAATATGTATCGTATCGTGGCCTGTGTATCGAGGTATGTATCGTATCGGCAACTTCTTAATGATACCCAGCCCCAGTTTATTCATTACGAGTGTTTCTATTGCTCAAAATATATCAATTCCTTCTGTGAATAGTCCCGACTCTCCACAGATCTGAACTGTAATGTAGCGTAGTGCTGTAACCTGCTTGTTTCTATACTGTTCTAGACAAAGCAATGACATTTCAGGTAACAGACACTCCACTAGAAATGTTACGCAGTGTACCTTTAATTATATGGTTTGCTTTTAGTTTACAGATAAGCAAAGACTGTATCAGGTTTCAATAAGGCAGAACACATTCGTTAAAACATGTACTGAAATGTGGGTGATAGAGAAACCGTGGATAAACATGAGCAAAATTTCAACATAAACAACGTCAGTCATCAGATATAAAGGAACTAAACAAAAGAATCAGGAGCAGAAGAACAAGGAAAAGAACATTGAAAAGAAAATACTACTCTATACTCTAAACGACTCTATAGATATCAGGAAATCTTGATATTGTAGTTTTCTTTTTGTTTTTTTTTATGTACAGCAGTGAAAGTACTTGTACCTTGCAGCCAGTTGGAGTCGTACTGCTCGGTGCGGATCACGCGGCGGTTGCCAAGGGAACGGAAGAAGGCGGAGTCTCGGCTCATGAAGTCGGAGGTGATGCCCGCGTACAGCTCCCCATCTGTGGACGTATGAGGATGAAGATTCAGTACACAGTCGGTATGCAAAAAAGCGAGGTTTGGTCGTTTAGTCCTTGTTTAGTCCTGGTTTTGTCCTTGTTTAGACCTTGTTTAGTCCTTGTTTAGTCCTGGTTTAATCCTTGTTTAGTCCTGGTTTAGTCTTGGTTTAGTCCGTGTTTAGTCCGTGTTTAATCCTGGTTTAGTCTTTGTTTAGTCCTGGTTTAGTCCTGGTTCAGTCCTGGTTCAGTTCAGATGCCCTTACCCATTTTAGTCCTGGTTTAGTCCTTGTTTAGTCCTTGTTTAGTCAGTGTTTAGTCCGTGTTTAGTCCTGGTTTAATCCTGGTTTAGTCTTTGTTTAGTCCTGGTTTAGTGTTTAGTCCTGGTTTAATCCTGGTTTAGTCTTTGTTTAGTCCTGGTTTAGTCCTTAGTTTAGTCCTGGTTTAGTCCTTGTTTCAGTCCTGGTTTAGTCCTGGTTTAGTCCTTGTTTAGTCCTTGGTTAGTCCTTGGTTAGTCCTAGTTTAATCTGTTAGTCTTGTTTAGTTTAGTCCTGGTTTAGTTTAGTCCTTTTTAGTTTAGTCCTTGTTTATCCTGTTTAGTCCTGGTTTAGTTATGGTTTAGTCCTTGTTTAGTCCTGGTTTAGTTTAGTCCTGGTTTAGTCCTTATTTCTTGTTTAGTCCTGGTTTAGTTCTAGTTAAGTCCTGGTTTAGTCCTTGTTCAGTCCTTGTTTAGTCCTGGTTTAGTCCTGGTTTAGTCCTGGTTTTGACCTTGTTTAGTCCAGGTTTAGTCCTTGTTTAGACCTAGTTTAGTCCTAGTTTCGTCCTTGTTCAGTCCTTGTGTAATCCTGCTTTAGTCCTGGTTTAGTCCTTGTTCAGGTCTTGTTTAATCCTTGTTTAGTCCTTGTTTAGTCCTTATTTAGTCCTTGTTTAGTCCTGGTTCAGTCCTGGTTTAGTTCAGATGCCCTTACCCGCTACAGTCCTGGTTTAGTCCTGGTTTAGTCCTTGTTTAGTCCTGGTTCAGTCCTGGTTTAGTTCAGACGTTCTTACCCACGACAGCAGAGGCGGTCTTCTGAAGAGGGTCGTATGGACACTTTCCTTTGCCACATTCGGTCTGACTGTAGGACAGGACCTGCTGCTCTGACTGGAAACAAACATAAAAATAAAACTTTGTCAGAAAAAAAGTCTACTTCCCCAGTATTATATAAAGCACTTGTTAAGGGGGATTTAAAGTTGTTCCTTCACCCCAGATGGGACTCGAACCCACAATCCCTGGCTTAGGAGGCCAGTGCCTTATCCATTAGGCCACTGGGGCTCACACCACTGTGTCTGACTCTGCCCCCGTGTTCGACAATACAAGACCTCTGACCTTCAGACAACGACTGGAGACGTAAAGAGTTTAACAGAGCGGCAATGGCAATGTTAAAGAGATAAAGGAGCAGACAGGGGCAGAGCCAGAGGAGCAGACAGGAGCGGAAAGGAGCAGACAAAAGAGCCAGAGGAGCAGACAGGAGCAGACAGGAGAAGAGCCAGAGGAGCAGACAGGGGCAGAGCCAGAGGAGCAGACAGGAGAAGAGCCAGAGGAGCAGACAGGGGCAGAGCCAATGGAGCAGACAGGAGCAGAAAGGAGCAGACAAAAGAGCCAGAGGAGCAGACAGGAGCAGACAGGAGAAGAGCCAGAGGACCAGACAGGAGCAGAAAGGAGCAGACAAAAGAGCCAGAGGAGCAGACAGGAGCAGACAGGAGAAGAGCCAGAGAAGCAGACAGGAGCAGACAGGAGAAGAAAGGAGCAGACAGAAGAGCCAGAGGAGCAGACAGGGGCAAACAGGGGCAGAGCCAATGGAGCAGACAGGAGAAGAGCCAGAGGAGCCGACAGGAGCGGAAAGGAGCAGACAGGAGCAGACAGAAGCAGACAGAAGAGCCGGAGGAGCAGACAGGAGCAGACAGGAGAAGAGCCGGAGGAGCAGACAGAAGCAGACAGGGGCAGAGCCAGAGGACCAGACAGGAGAAGAGCCAGAGGAGTAGACAGGAGCAGACAGGAGCAGACAGGAGCAGACAGGGGCAGACAGGGGCAGACAGGGGCAGACAGGAGCAACACTTGAGGAGCAAAGCAGAAGATGTTTCTTTTCTTTCTTCTCGACAAAGATGGATAGAGAAGTAAAGTCAGTGAGAAGCTCAGAGGAACAGCAGATTTTCTTTTGTTGGGATATTTCAGACACATGAAAACATATCATTAATACGGGGGAGTCTTATAGGGAAAATATTAAGATGTTCTCAGTTATAATGTTGTTTCTTAGTCACAAATATATCTGGAGTTGGGTTTGGCTTCAATCATTTGGTTAATTTCAGCCCTGGAATTGCCAATTTCTACTAAACAAAATGTAGACAGGTTTATATAATAATATAGGATTACTCAAATACATGTAAATGAAACAAAACTCAACTCCAGGTATGTTTTAGATGAGGTAACAACACTATAACCTGTCTTAAAGGTTGTAGAGAGGATTTTTTTTAAGGAAAGAGAAATACAGCGACAGTCCTTTTTCAAATGTTGTGCATGCGTGACACCAGCTCCCTCAGTAGAAACACCTTCTCCCGCCTCTTTACTCTAGAAATCACGCTTGTTTACAGCCAGTGCGCGTTTAGAATTACAGTTGAAGTGACCTGTCTAGAAGTAATTTAGCGACGGACGCGTCTTCAGTCTTTAGACCCTTTGTCTGCTTCAGTCGCACCATCGCCGGAAGGAATCTCCAAGAATCACCTCCGTTTGTCTTTGCTCCTTTTCCCCTTTTCTTCTTCAACCAACCTCAAAAACGGACTTTCTTTAGCGGCGAACTTGTCGTGGATTCTCGTCCGCCACCGCAACAAACTTTGTGCGAATTGTGTGGAAGCTAGAGTTTGAAAAAACCTCTAAGAACTGCTGCATAAACGACGTAATTCCCGCGCGCCGGTGAGTCAGTTACACTAGAAACGTAGGGAGTTTGATTGACAACCTTACAGCCAATAGAAAACGAGGTAGCCTTGTTGTCTATTGGCTGATGGATATCTGGCCTCACTACGTCCACAGTTGATGGATTTTCATTCTTTTTTTTTTTTTTTTTGGTCATCATAATTACAAAGCTACTGCGTCTCTGTAATGGTATTTTAAACTTTCATTGACAATTTGAAAATAAAAAAAAAAATCCTCCATACAACCTTTAAAGCTCACAAGAGTCCATTTTGCGTAATATAATATAAGTTTAACTGATGTCTTCCCCCAGTGATTCATGGACCAGTTGACTTCACACATCCCCGATATTTCCCAGGTTCGTGGAGGTTGTTAATGGTTATTACAGGGGCCCGAGTGTTTGGGATTATGGACATGTGAACTCCACCAAGTGTCTTCTTGGACTTTTATGGGATTATCCAAAATCCACCGTGGAGGGAGGGGCTGCTGGACATAACTGAGGGAATTTAGAGACATCATCTGGGCAAAACAGTACGGAGCTGAGCAGACTGAAGTGACATTGAGAATCTTCACGGGAAATAAAGGCGGCAGGACTTAAGGCGATGTAAATAACGGGATTTAAATAGTGATTTCAATTAATGCTCTGTTCAATTACAGAAGTGTTGTAATCAAAAATACAATTAAACGCCTTCTGCTCAGATCTGATATGAGGTCTCTATCTGCTCATCTGCTCACAACTGTCACAAATTACTACTGAAATGTATTACGTTTATACTTTCTACACAGGTAAATTCTGACAGTATAAATAATTGTTTGAAATAAAAGTGATTTCAATTATGTGCCAAATAATCACCTTTATAATTCGCCATAACAAGACTTACAGGATGAACTAAAACTGACCCATTTTCAGTTATATTTTTTTTATTCTATTGGTTTTGATTTGGTTTTATTTTCTATTCTACTGGTTCCTTAATATAAATTGTTAAGAGGGCCCAGACAGGTAGAAACATATACATAAATTCACACCTGATCAGATACTTTTTGTTTAAAGACACGTGTCAGGCAACTCAAAGTTTAAACCAAGTCGAATCAGCTGTTTTGACTTGGAACAAACCCAATATTTTTATTTAGTTTTAATTTAAAGAGCCGATATTACGCTATTTCTGATATTATTTTTATGTTATAATATTGTTCCCTCATCAAAAACAGACCTGGAGTTGTGTTTTATTTCATTCACACATGTTTAACACACAAATTCATATTCATATTCAGGCTGAGTTATTCACGCTCTGCTCCACAGCAAGTGCTCCACTGTGTTTTTAAACTCCGTAAATCTTCACTAGAATCATTTGGATAAATTAAACTGTGGAATAGTTCATCTCTGCTGAGTAGAAATTTAACGATATCCAAATCTCTCGGTACAATATTATCACAATATGCATCTCACAGTACGATATTTATTACGATATTTATTGCAGTATTTTGGAGAGGCTAATATTCTGTAGATAGGATAATTTTTTGCTTTTAAAATACCTCGACAAGATTTTGGTGTGAATTATTTCCATCATAATCCCAAGATTTCAAGTAAAAAACATATCTCTTCATGTTGTTTGCACTGAAATGAATCATGGGATATGTAGTTCCTTAGGTTTTTAAACTGTAAAACCACACATTTAACTCATAATTTGATATATTATGACAGCCTACGATATTATTGTGAGACTTTTAACGATACGATATCACAGTATTTCGGTTATTTCATTTATTTATTTATTGCTCATGCTATTATTTTACAACAACAGCAACAAAAAATCTGAAAATTAACATAGATACATATTTCTGCGATTATTTGCCTTGTCTTTGCTGCATGAACAAAAGGAACAGGAAGAAGATAAATCTTATAAACACTGCTCCTTTCACAGATCAAAAAATTAAACATTTCTTCTTATTGTTACATCCCTACTACTGAGCGAAAGGTAGACAAACGGATAATAAAGGATTCCTCAAACGTGTGAATGAAACAAAACACAACTCCAGGTATGTTTCAGATGAGGTAACAACATTTTAACACGACTTAAAGCTCACAAGAGTCATTTTTGCGTAATACAGGACCTTTAAATCTGAACAAAACCTAAAACTGAACCTGTGCCTTCTCTTCCGAACAGCCTTTTAACTATACATCATTACACAAGTGCACTTCATTTGCATTTTCTTTTTTCCTTCTTTCTCGCCGTCACTCAAACGTCTCTTTGTACCACACAGAAAAGCCATATCACTTCTGAAACAAATTACGACTGTCAAATAAACTGTGGCCGCGTACAGGGGGTATTGTGTCTGAGAGGAGGAGGAAGAGGAAGAGGAGGAAGAGGAGGAGGAGGGCGACGAAAAGGGAGGGGCCCGTGGGGGGATACGGGCAGACTCCACACAGAGAGAGAGGCTCCGGCTGCTGTGTAAAGATATGGGCCATCAATGGAACAGAATATAGGACAAGATACAGGTACGATGTGAAGGGAAGAGGAGTATGTGCTGAAGGACAAGTCAATGTGAAGATTAAAGCGCCCGTGTTACGCTTTTCTTGAGCAACGTCGTAATGTTCCTCATCACAGACATACCTGCAGCTTAACACACAAGCCCTGCATGTTTAGGTTCTTCTCCCAGACAGAAAACACTCTCTGCCACCTTCATGTCATGTACAGGAAGTGCTCCACTGTCTCCAAACAACTTCACTAGAATCATCTGGATAATTTCAGCCTCAGAAATTGCTTATCTCTACTGAAAAAAGGTAAAAAGTACTACCGCTTCATGACATCACCAGGTGGAACGGAGCATTTCGAGCTTTGGAAATGCAGACGGACTAATAATAAAAGATTAGTCAAACATGTGTGAACGAAACAAAATGCAACTCCAGGTCTGTTTTTGAGGAAGTAACAACATTATAACATGGCTTAAAGCTCTTTGAAAGGGACAGTTTGGAATTTTGGACATAAGACCTCATTTCCTAGTGAGCCAGAGTATTGGAGACATGTGGAGACATTTAAAAAAAAAAAAATTCCATCCAGTCCTTGTATTTGCAGAGGTCGCTGGTGCTAGGCTAGTGCATGTCAATGGCCATAGTTATCCTGCCGCTAAAAATAGTCCTACCCACTCCACAAAACACCCGAAACAAAACTATTATTACACCAGACTGTCCATGTGAATGTCTGTGTTGATAGAATAATGTTTGAAATAAAACTAACCCTGCATCGCTTGAACTGTCGCATGTTGAGGGACTATTTTGTCAGCAGCAGTGGAATGTTACTTTGCAGCTAAGATAGGTGCTAGGTGATATCAGTCCGCCGCTGACAAACTTTCTATCAGGAAGTACAACTCGCTGCTGCTGCTCAGAGATAAATCCTTCAAATGCAAGGTTGGTTTTACTCCTAAAATTATTCTATCAACACAGATATTCACATGGACAGTCTGGTGTAATAACAGATTTGATTCGGGTGTTTTGTGGAGTGCGTAAGACTGTTTTTAGCGGCAGGATAACTATGGCCATTGACATGCACTAGCCTAGCACCAGCGACCTCTGCAAATACAAGGACTGGATGGAATATTTTAAAAAAGTGTCTCCACACGTCTCCAACACTCTGGCTCACTAGGAAATGACGTCCTATGTCCAAAATTCCGGACTGTCCCTTTAAAACAAAATTTTGGTAAATATAGGAACTTTAAAAAGAATAGGTGTTGGTTAATGAAATGCAGCTATTTTCTGATAGAATAAGTGCATTTGTAACACCCATAAATTAGTGTTGTTGCAATATTAAAAAAAAAAAAAGGAATTCGATTTTGAAAGTAAGGAATAGACTTGATACTCACTCAATACCGATTCTGATACCACAATTATAATAAGAAACACACTTTATTTAGATAGTAGAAAGTATTTTTAACATTAAATCACAGTTTCCATTTCCAGAAAACCCCCTGACATGTGCAGATGACCTCCTTGATCTCTATGAGTGTTGTATTAGAGTAACTTGTACCTGTTGGAAGAGTCCAGTGTGGATGAAAGCACATCTTGGATTAAAGGCTCCGGTCCCACAAACGTACAGGTGAGTCTGGTTAAACGGCTGCAGCACACGTAGGAAGTTACCACACTCCGTCTGCAAAAAAAAAGAATAAATAAATGAAGAAATAATATATATATTTCTCAAATGAAGACAGACTGATGTTGAGTAACACAAATTCATTACTACAAAGTTGAAACTAGTTTTATTCTTTCGCTGACGTTTTTATATGAGAATGAGAACACATATATCTTCAGTAGAGTGAGGTACAGAATGTTTTGGATGAAATTTTTAACTTGTTTTGATTGGGAAATGTCCACAAGAGTCGTCTATGCGATTTAACCGGCATTCTGTTGAGTGATAATAAGGATTTAGAAGCAACCATTAGGAAGCCTTTATCCTTCTCCAATCAGGGGGATAGTTTGATAATAAATATGTATAAACAACTGTCTACGATCTACCTCCGACAGATGTGAGAATGAAAGAAAGAAAGAAAAAAAAAGGAGAGTATGTGATTGGAGCTGGATGGAGAACCATGTGAAAACTACTGCCTCTGACTATACCAGACAGTTGTTGTTCTGTCATGGTGCAATAAACTCTATTCACGCTTACATCACAAACCAAGAAGACGTCTGGAAACATGCGATGACAACTTTTGGTGTATTTTCCGACACTGGACATGCCGACTGATTGTGATAAAACCCACTGAAGTAAAAGTCATGAGCGTTAAAATGAAGACTGCATACGTATGTGCTGTTTGGAATCATCTTGAATTTGTCGCCTGATCTCTTCTAATCGCATGTACCCAGTGCGCTCAGAGTTGTGCGCCAGTGTGGAAATTATAAAAACTGAGGTCTGGTTGTAATTGTTGATTCGCCGAAGCACTACAATGACATGGAGATGAAAAAAGCTGGGACATTTTCTCATTTTTTCTAGATTTCGTCAGACTTACTAACGCGACAGAGCCCGCCGAAGTTGTCATCGCATGTTTCCAAACGTCTTCCTGGTTTGTGACGTAAGCGTGAATAGAGCCAACTGATCCAGGTCCGAGACCACACCGGGATCAGAGCAGGACCAGGGCGGACTCCGAGCTTTGACTCTGAGCCTCCGCGGGAGCTCTGCCGTGGGCTCTGAGCCTCCGGTCTGGTCTCGGTCTGGTCGAGGCCTGGTCCTGGCCTGGTCTCAGTCTCAGTCCCGGTCTGGTCTCAGTCTGTCCCGGTCTCAGTCCCGCTCTGGTCCCGGTCTGGTCTCGGACCTGGATCAGTCCGTATGCAGTGTAAAAGTTCGGCATCGCAGTCACTGAAGTCACGTAAACGGGAAACGGTCGTTATCCGTTTTTTCCATTCTTCATTTAAACACAAAATCGAAAACTGAAAAAACAAATCGTTATCTGTTTTTTCATTTTGGTTTGGGAGACAAATATTGAAGAAAACTGTTGTTTTTTCATTTTCTTATTTTTAGTTTTATATTGAAAAACGAATGAATGAATGATACACGGATTTCTGAGGAATAAAAACACCTGTATTTGAATTAATGCAAGATAAGTTTAATGCCATACTGTGGAACATCACCAATAACATCCACATAGCTACATGCAAGTGGTGAACCCTCCCCTCCGCCGGAAAAATTACATAGTGCCCTTTAACTAAAATAAAAAAATATTACAAATGATAAATAATTGTGGAATGTTTCTGCAACTATTCACCAAGTCTGGATTTATATATGACACTAAAAATACTGAGCACAAACTGTCCAACATAACATCACAATTAAATCTCCTCGATGTGATTACATGAAGTATTTTATGTGGTATTTTGGACTCACCTCAGGGTCTTTCCCGGCCATGAGACAGTCCTGAACCCGGTCTGGACTCGCGGGCCAGAACAGCTTAAAGAAAAAACAGAAAGAAAACAACGTTAGCACAGAAACTTAAACTGGACCGATGTGTTTTGTGAGAGGTTGGCATGACTACAGAGGATCTTAAATGAAAAGATACACGAAGCGAGTCTAAGCCAAGGGGAGTTCAACAACTGGACACTAAATCACCTCTATCTGATAATAAGAAAGAGTTAGGGAGGAGTGCGCTGTTTTAAATAGACAGAACATATTATTGATGCTATTTAAGATACTGAGGTAATACTGTTGGATCCAGTCAATAGTTTCTTATAGGGTAAAATAAGATTAAAGATACCAAATACTGTGAGTCCATGAACATCATGTACAGGCTGAGGTCATGCTTATATAATCAAATAATACCTAGACTCCTTAGTAGAAAAGGCCTGATATGGATTTTATCGATACAAAATTATACAAATATCTTAATATCAGCCCAAAAATTGTAATAAAATCTAGGGAGGGACCAACACAGGCATTGAATATTGGTACAGATGAAAAAATAAATAAATAGTTGGATGAAGTATGGATGTAATAAGATTCATTCATACAAAGCTGTTCAGACGTGATGTGAAGGAGAAATATTAGTTGAAGAACACTATTGGAGCTCTGGTTTAGTCCTGGTTTAGTCCTGGTTTAGTCCTGGTTTAGTTCTGGTTTAGTCCTGGTTTAGTCTGGTTTAGTCCTGGTTTAGTCCTGGTTTGATGTGAAGGAGAAATGACAGTTACATAACATTAGTGGATCGCTGTATAATAAGTTAAATGTGTTTTATGGGAATAAATGCCATTTTCCATGCCTAAATTGGCATCGGTTCATATCTGGTACGGGCAGATACTTAATGGCAAAATATTGATAGTTGTATTGAAACTAGAGATGGGCATTCGATGAAATGTTCTTAATCGATCGTCGAGAGAATTAACGATTGATTATCGATTAATCATTAACGTTTTTATATTAAAATGATCATCATTATTATTACTATCTGCACTCCTAATCTGCATAAATAAATTCAACTATACGACAAATAAACCGTAACGACTCTAGAGCCACATCAGTCCGTTTATTATAATGTGTTTAATTCAGTTTTGTGCAACTCTCACAGAAACGAAACTTAAAACCGCATCGCTAATTTGCATAAACTAAGAGAAGATAAAACTACAGCTCTTGTGTTACTGATGTGGTCAATTTCTGTTGGATTAAAAGACATGACTCAGTGGAATACAGGCTAGTGTGACCATATTTGCGTTTGTCAAAACCAGGACACCGTACAGGGGGGAGGGAGGTGGGGACTCGTCATCGACATTGAGCGACTCTCACCTGGCAAAACTTTTTCCCACTGGACACAGAAACATATGTGCTGCTTTATACACTGTGCACATGGACTCACACTTGTCCCGACCGGAACGGAAAGTGTGGAATTTCTTGTACAAATCATCTTTAAATACGCATATGCACTTCGGTACCTTACAGGCGGACTGACTGTTTGTGTTTGCTCGCTCCTTCTGAGTACAGAGAGCTACATGTACGGACCTCTGTTTGGTCAGGCTACGCACAGCAACCTACATTCGGTTTGTCGATTAAAATTTACGTAATCGATGAAATTCTTAATGATCAATTATCGATTAATCGACTAATCATGCCCATCCCTAATTGAAACTGAAAAAGCTGGATCGTTAGCCATGCTGGCGCCACCTAGTGCCTCCACTCAATTTCATTCCTCTTCAGCGACTAGGTCAGGAATCGGAAAACACTAGACAGTTTACAAGAACCCCAGAAGTTGTAGACCACGCACCGGCCAATCAGAGAAGAGCTGTGAAGTCATGACGTCAAACTCAAGCGCCTGTCTGGGTCCCATTTGTGGAACAGCGCAACAGTAAACAAAGCGTCGAGATGGATGTAGACAAAGACATATATTCTGTGTTGGCAAAGATTCCCGAGATCGAGGATTTAAAAACAAAGAGAATATTTGGTGAATTTTATCAAGGGGAAAGACGTATTTGCCCTTCTTCCTACGGGATTTGGCGCATTACATATACCACGACCAAATAGAAGCGACTGGTTAAATAAAAAAGTACCTGCCTACTGTTGAGCGAATGAATCCTAACGCTGCGAGGTCAGACAGTTTCTGCAAAGTGAAACCGGCTGATGCAATCAGGCTACTGGATCGATGCATCTCTGATAAAATCCAGAAAGTTTTTAATGACAAACAGAGACTGAGGCACGTTAAAATAAACACAGTACAGTCATCAGTGCTGTATATCAAGGAGGATTTTCAATATTGGATGGATATAAACATATATAGAGAAAAAATCTATTCTTGGCTGACATCAATTTGCACCCATATATTAACCATCTCTCCATGGTTACAGGTCTGACTAACTCTATACTGAACTGTCAAATACAGTTCTTGTTTGCAACCGATCCTGACAAGCCATAGCTTTAGTATCTTTGTGATTTAATTTTAAATTGCATTAACTTGATCTGTGTCCCCGAGATAAGAGATAATCATGTTCAAATCCAATATAGCTTTTACTGATAACAACTATTAAGTTCATTTACTGTTAATTACAAAAACATTAGACATTATTTATGCTACTATTTGATGCAGAATGAGTTTTACGTGGGTCTTTAGTGTGGGTTGCCAGTTTCAGTGTGTAAATCCACTTGATTTAGGCATGATCTGTCCATACTGAGAACAAAAAAAAAACGTGCATGGTTCCTCTATCTGCAGGTTTAGACACTTGCGAAACAGTAAATGTTTCTTAAAGTCAAATTAGCAAACAATTTTAGCATTTCAGGCTCCATTGGGAACCACTGATCACTGCTAAACCACTGCTTCCACTGGTATTACTCCAGTTTAGCCCTGAGTCATATTTAAGGACATAGAAAATGGCCGTGATTAATCCTGATTGGAGAAGGAAGCGTTCGTCTGCAGAGCTTCATAATGGTTCCCTGATGAGGCCGCAGCTGCTGGAGGTTCAGCCCAGAGAGGAGCCTGGATCCTGGGCAAGATAAGAGCCCGCAGCCCCTTATCTGAGACCCACAGGCTGGATCAAGAGCCAGATCAGGACCACCACAGAGAGGAGAATACATGGGGGAGTTATGGGAGACGCAGGGAGTCTGACTGTGACATGGGAAAATGAATTCATATTTGGCACTGATGTTACGTAATGCATCTTTTTATTGCTATTGCATGGATGGAAATAAGAACAATAGTGGTCTGTGAAAACTAATGCTTCTTGTTTTCTATCTGCCGACATATTAAAGGTCCTGTATGACACAAAATTGACTCCTGTGAGATATAAATAATGTTATAATGTTGTTACCTCCCCAAAAACAGACCTGGAGTTATGTTTTATTAACCTAGCGCCTCCGCTCAATTTCATTTCTCTCCAGCAACTAGGTCAGGAATCAAAAGACGGTCACTAGACAGTTCGTAAAAACCCTGGAAGTGCAAGTTCGGGCACCAGCCAATCAGCGAAGAGCCATATATTCAGTGTTGTCAACGATTCCCGAGATCGAGGATTTAAAGCCGGAACAAAGAGAATGTTTGGTGAATTTTATCAAGGGGAAAGACGTTACTGCCCTTCTTTCTATGGGATTTGGGAAAAGGCTTAATATACCAGTTAACCTCATTAGCGGCACATTACATCTGGGCCCAGTCAAGCAGAAGTAAACAACAAGGCCAAAAATTCAAGTTTAATGCATCTGATATAAAAATGTATTGAACAGATACATATGTACTCTAGTTTATGAAACTGTTGACCTTTTTTTCTGTTCCATTTTTGGTTCTAAAGTTACATACGTTTTAAACAGACCATGTATGAAACATGGAACAAAAATTATTTCCCAAATTTCAAAGACCTGCAAATCATGTAAATAAATTGGATTTCATCATATCTTGTGTTATTCCATCTTTGAACTGTTGATGAAGGTACATGATTTTTCTAAAAAAATGTATTTAAAATAAAAATTTGAAAATGACAATTTTAGAATTAGTTTCCTTTCATTTTGAAGTAATATTAAAGTATTCAGAAGAAAAAAGTTGACAAATTATGTAAAATCCTGCACCTTCTACTTGTTTGCACAATTTTCCCTCCGTTACTTTTCCCTCCGTTACCATGACCTTTCTTAATAAAAAATCTCATTACTCAAAAAGTAAGAGGTTTTTCAACCTAATCTTGTACCATATGGTAGAAAACTATATGAAGCAAATATTCAAACCAGTTTGTTAAGGATATGTAAGTGAGAACCAAGAGTTATCACTGTTTGTATTTATTGCCCAAAAAGTGCTGCATATTTCATTCCCTCCGTTACCGACATGAGTTTTTAAATTTTTTGTCAATAACTTGAAAGAATATCACAGGTTTAACTTGACCCTGTTGGAGTGTAACTCTTTCCTACATTCTGATACTTTACTTATTTCAATAGTCCCTCTAGTTTCTGAATAAGAGAACATTTGAATGTAAAAAATCTGCCTGTTTCCCTCCGTTACCACTTGACCAGACCCACATGTGACTACCAAATAGCAGCGATTAGTTAAATGAAAAAAAGAACCCGCCTACCATCAAGCAAATTAATTCTAACACTGCGAGGTCAGACAGTTTCCACAAAGTGAAACCAGCTGATGAATCAGGCTAGTGTTTTATTTCATTCACACATGTTTGAGTAATCCTTTATTATAAATCTGTCTTTATCTGCAAAGCTTAAAATGCTCTGTTCCACTTTGCAATGTCAAGAAGCGGTAGTTTTCAAATTAACAGCGTTTTTTACCCTTTGTTTGTTTTGAGAGATTAGCAATTCTCAGTCTGAAATCACCCAAATGATTCTAGTGAAGGTGTATGGAGTTTAAAAACACAACAGAGCAATGTGTTCGATCTTAACTTACGTTGTCCCCAAGGACCCAAAGACATTTTTGTCGGGCCTTCTGCCTGGAGAGGTGATCGAAAAAGCGGACAGATACCTTTTTAAGATTCTGACATTGGCCTCAAAAA